TGGGCTGGAGAGGCGGCATCATGGGTGAATGATGCAGAGAATGGGAAACCAACAGAAAGTCAAGCCTTGGGTGGTGGTCTTGGGATTCCAGTGCACAGGCTGGGTGGTCTGAGCTTATTATTTAAACTTTGTCATTAGTCATTTCCAAATCATTAATTATGTGTGATAAAATATATCTTAAATGCGTAATTGTTAGGAAGGTATGAAATTATGTGCGAGACACTCTGGCCCACTAAGTGTCATGGGTTTTCAGTTTGCTTTCATTTGTACGGATATAGGAGTCATTAGGTCCACGAAACACGAGAAGCCTCCCTAGTGCTAACCCTATGTTGTTATAATGTAGCCATAAAGTCTTGGGAGTACCTCCCAAAGAAAACACACTTGGCTTCTGGGATGGGCACTAGTGCGTCTCTCTCTGCACAGAGCTGTGATGCGTTGGGTGTTACCATGAACCTGTCCTTGTGTGCAGACGAGGTTGGTGTAGGAAGTGCGTCTGTTCCTTGGCTGCCAAGGGGTGGACTGTGGGTGTTCACTGATGGCGTCTAAGTGAGTGAGAAACGCCCAACTATTCTGGGTCAGCAGAGTTCTGGTGTGGCTGAAGGGACTTGCTAGAGACAAAAGCTTCACCCTGGCTCCTCAGGTCCTTGTCCTGTCCCCACCTGCAGGAGACAGAAAGCAGGGAAAGAGGCAGGGAAGGGTCTCGGTGCTCCCGCTCACTGCTGACCTCAAACACTGGATGTCTGTGGAGGCCCACCTGGACAGCTGTCCTTGGGAGAGCGCTTATCCCCACTCTGGCTGTATCTGGCCCTGTTTGCATGTATTACTTCTTGATTATTTGATACAGGGTCTCACTATGCAGTTCACACACATAGTGATCCTCCCGTCTCAAGCTCACCAGTGCTGGAATTGCAAGTGTGTGTCACCATGCCCAGTTTCAGGGTGAGCAAGGCATGCCCAAGGTTCCAGAGCTGGCACAGCATGTGGTCCTGGGGATGGCACTGTGCTTAGCCCCCTGAGCTATCTCCCCAGCCCTTGAGTGTATTGATGTGTACATATATATATTGATAGGCTAGGACTTCTCCTTGTCCCTTCTGTTAGCTTTTAAGCAACTCAGGACAAGTGTTATCCTACCCTGTAGCTCCCCAAAACATGTGTCAGCTGGGTGGGACGGACAGCGGTGCCCTGTGCTGTTGGCTGGGATGGAGCCTGGAGGAGGAAGCTCCCCAGGGCATCAGAATGACCACAGAACAGCCCCTACCTGGAGGTGTGTCATGCAGGTTCCCCGCTGCACATCCTGCTCTCTGCATACTTCACAGAGGATTTCAGGCTACACCCAGCCCAGCTCGTAGGACTCATGTACTTCCCGCCATCGAGCGGCACAGTCTCTCACACTAGAGTAAATCCCTTTTTTGAGAATAAAACCTGGGCTTGGCCCTGAGTGGAGGCCTTGGTTGTGGTCAGCCACCACACTGGCTGCAATTAGGGACCCCTGGGTGGCCACAACTTCAAATGTGTCTTACTGTCTTTATTCTTGGCATGGGTTGCGCTAGAAGTTGTAAACGGAAAGTAAGTCACTAGAATTCCAATAACTTTTCCATGGATTACAAATATAAATTTACTGGCCCTCATGGGAGACCAGGAAGAGCTTATTATTGAAGTGTTCTTTAGTAAGCTGGTCAATCACTCATGCCATGAATTTGAGAATAATAACCAAGTGTAGATTCTGAGTCTTCCATTCAGTGTGTGTTGTGTGCTTTTCCTGGCAAGATGAAAGAAACCTGCCTCTGAGAAGGGCCCGCAGACTCAGAGCCCCCTTGTCCCTGGCAGACAGCAGAGGCCCTGCAGGCTGCAGGACTGCCGCACACAGCCCCGCCTGGCTAGCTGCTGCAGTTATCGCAGGCCTGTTGTTCAAGTAAAAGCCGGATCCCAAGCAGGCGGGGTCCTGGGAAGCTGCGCCCTGTGCACCATCTCATCCTGGTGAGAAGCACCCCTGGTACCGCAGGCGCTGTCTCCCGGCCCGGGTGAGCCACCCTGCTGGGCTGGAGTCCACACACAGCTTCAGTCCAGGGAGGCGACCGCACAGCTGACCAGCACCCACTACAGGATGGGGCTCACTGGCCAGGCTGGGGACAGTTCTCAGGACAGCACAGAAAGAGGGGCAGCTCAGGCACCAAGACATGGCTGGAGCCTTCCCGGCCCATGACTGCTGGGACAGGACGGCTGATGAGGAAGGGACACGGGTCAGCGTGCGCAAAGGAGTCCTGGCGGCCAGGGCCGGCCTGCGCTCTCCACATCCTCCCCAACGCCTACAGGTCCATGGACACACTGGGAAGCCTTTGCAGGGAGGGGATTTGGGTGTTCTTGAGGTCACAGGGCCTGGGCTGGAGAAGTCGGGTGTGGCTCAGTCACCCCAAGGCAGCTGTCTCATGCTGCAGGACAGAGGAGTCATAAATTCAGGGCCAGGGCTCTACGTGCACCACTCTGAAGAACCCACTGCTGACAGAAAGAGAGGCTGTCTGCACGCAGGAGGGGAACTATTGATAGAGGCCAGGGGTAGAGTGGTGGGCAGGGAGAAGCGAAAGGCAGAGAAGGGTTCTGTGCGCAGCGACTCCCCAGGAGGAGCAGGAGCATCGTGTACGGTAGACGTGTGCTAAGAAACACTGACAAAGGAGCCACTGCTCACGCAGGGTCAGGTGCAGACAGGGGCCGTGCTGTGCGCTCGGCCTCACCCCACACTTCAGGCCTGCTGGGGTCTCACCTTTGTTTCATTTTTATTTCGTACAGGGTCTACAAGGTCTCACTACATAGATCAGACTTGTAGTGATCTGCCTGTGTTCAGCCTCCCAAGAGCAGCGATTATAGGCACATGCCACCACCCCAGTCTCGAGATCTCACCTTTACAAGCCATGAGAGATGAATCAGATGAATCAGAGCTCTGGAAACTGTCACTACCTAAGGAGAAAAAATAACACGATGTCATCAAAGCCCACAGCAGACATGGTGAAGGGTTGATCATGGGGTAGGGATCCCCATGAGTCCTGACTGCAACCTCAAGGCTCTCAGGAATCAGCCCCTCATACTTACTTGCAGGCTGAGCATAGATCCCTCCCTTGAGCCCTGTGGGGATCAAATGCCTTGTGAGAAGCCAGGGAGGAGGCCAGGCCCTGACAGCCTTAAAGACCTGCCCAGGCCTGGAGCCCAGGGAAGTTTCCAGTTCTGGGCTGCAGACCCAGGGAAGGATCAGGATGCACGAGGAAAGGACATGTTCAGGACCGGGGCGAACTGCCCTCCTAAAGCTCTGTCCTCAGCAGGGACCTTCCCCTGTGCTCCTGACTGCTGGGATTCGGGGCTCCAGCACCACAGCCCTCAGGTGACAAATCTGTCCTTCATTGTCCCTGTCTCACAACAGGGTGA